TCTTCAATATTATTATAATGCTCAATATAAATAAATATCAGTTATTATTATCAAAAAGAAATAAAATTAGCCACTGTGTGCAGCTTAAAATAAAAGTAAATTATGAAATATAAAAGAAAGAAATACTTATGCAATAACTTTCTGCTTAAAACTTTATGGCTTAAGATTAATTTCCTCACAGAGTAATATATTTGAAGGCAAATAAAATTATTCCTTCTGGTAATGAACATAAAATTCGTTCATAAGTGTACTTGCATTGATTCTGATTTTGTCCACTCTAGGCTGATACCATTAAATTCCATGGAGTTATTCATTCTGTGGTTTAAAGTTGCTTTGGGTGTGTCTAAAAACTGTACATAATAAAGAATGTACCAGTCATGAGTTGTTTGAAAAACTGTAGCTTTGTCAGACACATTCAAAGGAGAGCTGTACTAGCAATATTAATTCTCTAAGGGGCAGAGTCTCAGCAGGTGTAAATATTTATAGCCCCCATCAATTTATACTAGCTGAAGCTTTTTAAGACTTTTCAAATTTCTGACAGGCAGTTTCTCCTCTGTCCAAATAGCTACTTCCCCTATGAAATGTTTTATATGTGTGTTTAGCATATCAGTTAACTATACAATCTTAATGTGTGTGATTTAAAAATATCTAATTCACTGGAAATTTTAGAAGCTATTTGAGGGTAGACAATCTTTATAGTGTTTTACTCACTCATATATTCAACAACTGAGAATTTAATGAAGCAGCACTCTTCTACAGTAGCAGTACTGGGGTACTGCTATTGTATGTATATGTACTTATTTACCACCCCCAATGGTAAATAGCTGACTACTATATATTGCTTATATGCGGTGCTAGTAAAGCCAACCCCAGTGAATATGGAACTTGAATTAATGTTATTAAAGTAAATCTTAGAGCAGGAGTAAACAATAGGTGGACTGTGGGGCCAAACATTGTCCAACAGACACTTTGAATGAACTCCAAAATCTTTGTCTTTACTTACTATTATTTATTATCTTTTTAGAGTCTGGAGCTTGACCAAGAAAATTTGGACCATGACAAAAATAATTGAATACACTTCTCTTAAACATTGTTCTGCTTTTACTTACATGTATGTGATCTAATACCCTAATACACTTGTTAGTCTTTAAAGTGCCCCTGGACTTCTTGTTGTATGTGCTATAGTTGAACTGCAAAGCATAGTGCCCTAATGAGCATTCTTCTTAATGGACTATTTCAAACGTTTGTCTTAGGCTTTTCCTACATAAGCTCATAAGTATAATTTAGATTGTAGTTCAGCTGTAGTCTTCAAATCATAAATTGAATGGCAAAAGCAGTTGAAGGGCATGTTGGTTTACAATGGTATCTCTGCTGTGGCTTGCTTAGACTTGTTAAACATTTGTTTCAATTGATAGAGGTTTATGGACACTTTGTATGCATTGACATGAGTTACAAAAGACCCAAAACCAAAAACTAACAATGCCATGCATCTTCCATATTAAATATTTCATTCTCATTGTTTACCAACAGCAACAGCTGGAAAATATACACAATTGAAAAATATTTTACCATAATCCATATTTTAAAGATATATTTACAGTAAAATTTCACATTTGTGCGTTTTACTCCATAGTGCACTTCCGTGCTTCTTACCATGCTGATTTTTCTTTGCTGGTGCTAGTTTAATGGCAATGAGGATCATACAGTACTTCTGAATTGATTCAGTCAGTGATGACTTAACAATGCCTGATTAGACAATGCCAGGGCAGTTTCTGCCACTTGTGAAGATTTAGAAAAGTCTGCTTTTATTAGCACTGGCAAGGAAGCCTGATCATAATATTTTCACTGTGTTCAATATTTGTAAAATGTACATGGTATTTAACATTTTTTCAGTTTTCAGCTGCATATTGTTTTTTGGCCCTAAAATGAGGACTGTAGATTTAATGCCCCATCATTGCTATAACTACACAGTGATTATATTCTATTTCTGCAAAGTTGCTCTCGCTTGCTAAATGATGGGCAGCAGCAGCCCTCAAACTTTTTGCTATTCCTTTGATACTCTATTGGTATCTCTGAGGGGTTTAACTAGATTAAAAAAAAGCTACATGGCAAAATTGCAACAACAGAAATTCTTTCCCAGAGATGCACAATTTCTGGATGAATTGGGAAAATGCTGTGAGAGAAACTTCTTGTGTGACTCTCAGGGCTTGATCTTGCATTCAGTAGCAGGGACAAGCATTTCTTGGGCTTAACACAATGCCTAGTATAGTCAGCAGAAGTCGTGTTGCATCCCTGTTGACTTCCCAGGATCCTGAATAGCAGAGCACCAAGTTAGGCGGTCTCTACTGCATTTAGGTTTATGCTTACTTAATTGGCCAATCCTGATTAAAAGGACAACTACCCAGTCTTTAGGGTAAAACAAAAGGAATAATTGTTACTACTAAAATGATAATAGTTGAGTTTAAAAGAAGCTGACTTGTGCATTATCATTTCTTTTCCCTTAATACAACAGTAAGTTCAGGTTCTACAGAGGACCCCTGAAAAGTGACTCCTGTGAAAACAAGACGAGGACCTCATTTATATGCTCAAAGTGCTATCTGAGAGAATACTAAAGGAGAATGCCTGGGCCCTTCAGGTGGAAAGGGCAATATTGTAATGAAAATATAGTACATCGATGAAGCTTTCAAAATATCATTGAATTATTCATATGCCACCTTGTATTTTAACAAATGTACTTATTAGTTGAAATTTAAGCTGTCAAGGGCATTTAGCTACACATTAACTTTAATAAAATATGTGTGGCTGTGTGCTGTAGACTGCTTTGAAGTTCTCAGCTATATTACCTGTAGAGATTTGGGTGATTTCTTTGTACACTTTTTCACAAAATATTTATTTGCATCTGTTTTTATTGGTGCTTGTTCCCTTTCATGCTTGCTTTCCCCAAACACTGGTGTGCTGGCATTTTATATTCATAGAAGTTCTTAGCAATTAAATTTCAAACTTCCATGTAAGTGTTTGTGAACAGTTACTTTTTAGTTCACAGAAACACTTGCATCAATAAGTGCTTGCAATAAGAGTTATGCCAACTCAATCAAGAAACAGAATTAATACCATGTGATCAATCACAGTTAACTACATAATACAAATAATAGTTATTGAATGCTTGCAGTGAATAGTTCATAGTATGTACAGTAATGTTCAGTAAAATTCACAAAATAAATGTGTAGGAGTCATTTGTAGCTAAGTGAGAAATTCAGATTCGTGCTTAAACCCCTGTTTTTCTTATAGATGGTTGGTTTGATTGGACAGATTAATTCAGTGGATGTGTGTGTGTGTGGGGGGGGGCTCTCAGCTGGCTTGATCTTCTAGCACAAAAGGAACATTGTAGACATCAAAATCCAGGCAATGGAAATGAGCTCAGGAACATATACTGACCACAATGGTATTTGTGATGACCTCCTCCTCCCATGCTTTATGAAATGGACTTATAGACACAAATACACATAACTCAAAGATGCTCGGGACAAATGGCCTCGTGGGACACGTCAACGTTAATGTCTTAATCAACTGGATCTGTATATCTCATTTTGGTGTATGTATCATTCTTGTGTGTAAAGTTAGATATTCAGAGTATGGAATGCTTTATGGTTTTAAATATGCAAATGAAAGCCATCAAGGGTGTTACTCTAAATGTCTAGAGGACCAACTGTAAACTGCTTCTTTTGTCCTTTAAGTCTTAGCAATGGTTGGTCTTAGGAAGTCACATGTCCACCCCCAACTGGTAGGGGTGGGCCAAGTAATTGTCCATGGAAAGGTGGTATCTATAAAACAATAAGAAGCTAGGAGTTTCTTTGTCTTTGGTTGGAGTGGCACACCCAAGAGGATAACTAAAGACCCCACGGAAAATTTGATTTCCCCCCTTTGGAGGCTTAGTTGGAATTAAGAATAGTGCGAGTTTGTTATACATTTGTACTGAGGTTTTGGTGTTAGAATTAGCTAAGCGTTTTCTGTTTTTTAAAATGTGTAATCTACTTTGCTCTGCCTGTTTTCACTTATTATCACTTAAATCCTACTGCTTGTACTTAATAAAATCACTTTTATTTACTATCAAGCCCAGCGTAAATAATTGTTACTTGGGGGAGCAATCAGTATGTACATCCTCTTTCCTTGTTAAAGGGGGCATACCTAAATAATTCATTCGGGGTTCTGATCCCATATGGGGAGTGATATACCAGGAAGCTGGGCCCCCAACTGCATTTTCCTTGGACCAGAAGAGTTTCAGCATCTGTACTGATCCTCAGGGAGAGGGCAGTGATCGCAGATCTGAGCCTTGGCTGGGGGAGACCAGGCAAAGGGCAACCCAGAGAGCAGGAAGATGGGTGGCAGTGGCCTTGTCAGCACTCTGGGAAGCACCCCATGGGGTTGTTTGTGACCTCACCCTGTCACAATATTTTCTGTAGAAGAACCAAAATACTGACATTCTAACCAAGAATAGGAAAAAACATTGTATGTTCTGCAAAATATTTAACAACTTTACTTCAATAAAAAAATCCTCACCAACTTCTTTTAAATGTCAGTAGTAAGCAGTAATTTCAAACTGAGGGCTAATAGCCCTTCTAGGTACAGGAAAAGGCATCACAGATAAGAATTCATCTTAATGAAACCTTGAGCTGCATCTTAAGTGTCACTTTCATAAAGGCTATGCACGAGCTAATGCTGGTAAGAAGATATATAGTTGTGAAGAGCCTCCCTTTTGTGTGCTGTCCCATGTTGTCTGGCCAGTCTCTCAAAGAGTTGTCAACTCCAGTCTGGAGTAGAAGAGAGATGCAGGAGAAAAATTCCTTCTCTCAAGGGTCTGTTGTAGTCAAACACTTCATGTCGCAGACTGCATAATTAGTCTGATGCATGGGGCAGTTAGTTCATAGATTGTTCTCCTGCCACCCATGGGCATTCTTTCCAAACTTATATACTAGCCTTCTGTCTATGCGTTCCAAAATTCCAGTTTTATAATAATATCTGCAGTAACAAATCAGAAGTGGAATTTACTTTAGAGGAACTGTTCCCAAGTAGTACACAATAGAAACATAACAGAGCAGTCAATATGATTTTTCCCATCAAACAGCAAGCCTTTCTTTCTGTTAAATGAATAGTTTAACACCCCCAGATCAACTTACATTAGAATTTGAAACTTTCCCAGACTTCTTGAAAGGTGAACTTTGATCCTTTTAAAACAAATACTGCATACGTGTTTTTGCTTCTAAGATGACCGCAATTCAGAATGAACTGCTAGGATTATCAAAGCAGAAAGGCAGGTAGTGCCATATTACCAGTCATGGGTTAAATTCTCAGCTCATGTAAGTCAGAATAGCTCCATTACCTTCAATGGAGTTATGCTGATTTATACCAGCTGAAGAGTTGGCCTTCGAAAGAGCCATAATTCTGTCTTATGCCGTTTGGATACATACAAAAAGCTATGCAATCAATGTAATTATGTGAAATAGACTCATAATACACCATTAGTAATCACCTACTAACGCACCGGAGAGCTCTGCTAAGTTTTTCATATGTCATTCTGTCATTTCGCTTCCTTTGTCCCCACATCTTTGCCAGAGCTTCTGACTTAACAACCCGAAAGATGCCTTGTTCTCTATTTTCCCATTCGAGAATGCCACAATTTTCTTCTGGAAACAGGAGGAGGTCTCGTACAAATTCCCACAAGTGAGAACTCTTCATGCCTTCAGCATTAAAAGAACGGAAGGTTAACAGACTTTCAGTGGCACAGTACTATAGCACTAGAAATAATCGGTACCACAGGATTGTGCCTGTCAGTATCTGGCATCCATTTAGCTTACAAGACCAAGTGCATTGCTTATCTGTAAGCGGAATCAAATGACCTTCTGCAAACTGACCTTGAAAGAAAGCTAATTCTAGAATCTGTCTTTTATTCCAGAAAATTTTGGGTTTTTTCCCCTTGCAAAGTTGGGATGCATTTACATCCTACAGGAATCAGTACTTATCTTCACAGACTAATACTGGAACTCAGTAATAAAGGATAGCTTGATTTGGGGATTGTTTTTACAGCCCATTTTAGATTAATTTTAAAAGTTTTGATGTGAATTTAGTGCTGGTGAAAGTTCTAGATTATCGATAGTGACCAAATTTCCTGTTAGCCTGAACAGTTACAGCTTTAGCAACAGGTGGTGGGCAAAGCTTTCCATGAAGGTAGATTTCTCTGTGGTGCTGTAGTTTAAGCCTGAGGCTAGCTGAATCCTAACTACTCTGGAAGGGATAAGAATCTCTGAAGAAAGAGAACACACTTGGTTACCTCACATGCATGCATGTGTTATGCTCAAGGAGATTCTAATAAGCAATGTTCTAGGAATCAGGCAATCATTGAAAAATCTTCATCCAGGCCTTCCAAAATCATGTGTGGTTTAAAAATCATGAGGTTTTTTTTGTTTAAAAATAATTCATTTAGGTTTGTTTATTTACCTTCTAGATTGAGTCTTTAGGTGATACTCAGTTTTTGTTTTCCTGCTCTTTTCCACAACTCCAAAGGCTGGAAGCTTACTATTTTTTTTTTTTTAAAAAGAAAGCTAAGATTCTCCTGACTCCAAGAATGCACCCATGTAATAAGACTCATGCTACAACTGTTGAGAATTGTCAACACTGTTATACAGCTGCGGCTCAGCATTTTGTGGTCTGACTCAGTGATTCAGCCCTTTTGACAAACATTTGAAACCAGGACTTTGTGTCTCATAATCTTTCAAGCACAATTTCTGCATTTCAAATATATACCTACTTGTTTTACCGTGATTGTGACATTCTTGACTTTTCATGGTCCCTGTTCTCAGGCATGCCCTATCATTGTCTGGAACAGAATAACAAAATGATATGAGGAGGAGGAATCTGAGTTGTGATAATGTGGTCAAATAGGTAATGTGTTCACCTAATCAAATGTCGGGCAATACTGACTGAAACTGGGGATGTGCTGTTATTAAAGTTACCTTTTTAATAACAATAAAAAGAAAATAGCTTTATTATAGAGCTAAACGAAAGTGAATAACCAATTTGCAGTTGGATTAACTTGACAGCCACCCTAAAAGAAAAAGAAACCATTTAACATATCTACACAGTATGTCTGTATTATTTTGTTTTAGGGAATTTAGGTCTCTTTGTCAAATCCATACATATCTGTGAAAACCTTCCAGGCTTAACACTCAAACTACACTGTGGTTGTGGGTACATATGGCCAAAGTGCAATGGTAGTAGGTGAATATGAAATTTGGCAACAACACTGCCGTGACACAAGCTATATCACCAAATTTGAGAAAGAGGGCCTGTCATGACATTGCTGTGACATAAACAGAGCTGGTCAGAGGAAGGCATTGAAGGAGGGATAGCAAAGGCTGATTGTACAGCACTCTTAAGTGTGCGATAGACATCCCATTTCAGAGGTTGATCCCCACTGGGTTCTGAGTTATCTGCAGCCTCTAATGAGAGTTCTTAATCCTTTAGCTGAAGATGAAGAAACTCATTATGTTAGTGCTGACATTCTGGGAGGCAGACCCTGCTGCCAGTGCAAAAGGCATGACTAGAATTACATACGAGACACATCGCCATATGACGGCAGGACAAGGCACCAGTGTGCTTTCCCCTCCACCCTCACTTCCTGGAGTAACACTTTGGCACCTCTGGTCAGTTTGTTCCGTGCACTCTGGGCTGCCTTGAAACCGGTGATCCTGTGTCAGAGGGTTTTCAACACGGTGCCTATATCCACACAGGGCGTGAATAAGTCCGGTAATACCCGTGGACTCTGCAAGAGCTGAATGTGGTTCTACAACCGCAGGCTATTATGGGGTTACCTAGAGCAGTGGTTCTCAACTCGTTTCAGTCCACAGACCACCAAGCCAATCAAAAAATTTTCGTGGACTTTGGACAGTGTTCCTGTAGACCACCGAAAAAGTCACCATGGACCACCAGTTGAGAACCACTACAGACAATGTTAGGTCATTAGGATTTTCAATGGGGAAAAAGGAGCCTATTTTGGA